AAGAAGGATTATACATAAATCACTCTAGCCCAATTAAACTTGACATACTTTTCTCTGAAGGTCATAAGAAAAAAGGGCAAGAAGAAAATATAATAAGGACTACATTTACTGATAGCAATCACTGCTTTAAATTGAAAGTGACTATATAAATACAAGAGAAAAAAATCAATATTCAAACAGTTAATATTGTAATTCTAAGATAAAAACCGTATTTTGTCACTAAACCTACTTTCACAAGAGTAAAATATTTTATCTTTGTTGATTATAATTTATACAATCACTTATCAGCCAAGCATGGATGAAGAATACGCATTATGTTTCTTTTAATTCTATGAGATCAATAACAATGATACAAATTATTAATCAATCTTTGATGATTTATTATTATGCCATTGGCTATTAGATGCAAAATACTTTGAACTGGTTTGTTCGATAACTAGCTTTCCTCATTTGTATTTATTTTCTCCCCCGAATATAAAGAATTCCATTATCTTCAACAGAAGCAATAAATATTTCTTGATCAGCTGCTATTAGCAAGGCATATGCTAGAATCTGAAGATACAGAAATACAATATCATCCTTCAGAAAGTTTATGGTACAGCTGATAAAAAAAACTAAATACATGAAATTACAAATATAATCCAAGTAAGTATAATAGTAGCAAGTGGGTGGTTTTAACAGTAATATGGGATCATGAGGGAGGAAGACATTTCCTAATATTGGGATAGTGAGAAGGAACACGACAAAGCAGATGGGATGCACTCTGGGTCTCACTGTAATGAGTAGAATATGGTTAATAATGAAATAGATATCAATTTACTGAAAAAACAAAGAAAGACTTCGGGCATTCTGGACAAAAGAAACACACTGAGAGAACAGTGGATGACAAAAAGGTGTTGTGAGGCGAAACCCAGTCCAACAGGTAAGTAAGAGCTCCTGCAGGCGCCTGTCTCAGGAGCTGCGGATATTCATCACTTGGTATGATATTCATATGGCCTCACTAGCTTCTGGAACAGCTCTGCTCTTAACATTTGAACAATTTATTGCCTAATTATTTCATTTGCCCTTTTGAAGAGTGTCTCTGCAGGACACGTTCTGGGAGAGAGAGTACAAAAAGTAAGCCCTTGGAAAGTCACCCCACCATTTGCATTAAAATCAAAATAACCTTTTAGCAAATGCTTTGTGACCATTTAGAATATTGAATTTGTATTTTAATCTTGGAGTTCATCAGGAATATAGCCAGTGGGAAGGACTTAATTACAAATGATGTCTTTCCCGTGGTTATGCCCACAGTCCTAAGGGATGCTTTAATGAAGTTCTGAGCCCTCAGACAAGGAAAGGTTAAACGGCTTTCCTTCCCCCAGGGTACCTCAAAGTGCATCTAGCTGCACCTTTATCCTAGCAGATGTTCAACCAGGTATACTATTAGCCTGAGGGGAAAATTCCAGGAAACACAAACTCACCAGGGGAAGAGTTCTCTGGAATTCAGGGGCTAATAAGAGCAGCCTCTTTCAGAGTTTGAAGAGATGAATTTAGATAATCTCTATTTGAATACAAATGTGTATTTCATTAGAAGTGTAATATGCTAGGAGGAATACCATTCTACTTGTAAATTCGTTATGTGTTAAATATTTATGATATTTTAGATCGATATTTTTTAAATGTTGGGAATGTTCCTGCTGTGTTTATACCGTTCACATGATTAAGTTTGTATTAGGTCAAGCCGGATGAAATTGCCTTTTTTTGGTAACTCAAAATGGTTGAATATTTCATTTTATCTGTTTGAACCCAATTACTCAAATTGTCTTAAAATCAGCAAAAGACTGCAAAGTTACACTTTGTAACATCATCCCAATATGATTTTCATTCTTAAAAAAATACTTTTGCATTATGCTAAACAAAATCTTTTCAAAATGTGCTGAGATCTCACTCTATAGACAGATATAGATATCTCTCAACAGATAGTTCTCTATTATCTCTAAATGCGTGTTTGTTTTTCTAGAACTGGCCTTGATTTTCAACTTTGATTTTTAGGTTTTGTATCTCTAGCAGTAGTCAGGGAATTTCAAAATGGAACCAGACCCAAATTTTAAGAACTTAACGTTATTTTTAAAATTAATATTGAAGAAAATACTTGTTTTTCTAAAAACTTAAAAAAGCTGGTCTCTCTGCCTTCTTCAAAACAAACCCGAAACTGAAACACCTCAATATGTATGTAATGAAAGACACAAGTTTCCACATGAATTACTAATGTTAATAATTGAGGGACTCTTCATATATGGAATACTCTTTTGATAAGGTTTACTTTTGAAAAGATATTTGGGTCTTCTGATGTTTTTTACAACTTACAGCTTTGTAAAATCATTTAGTCATTAAACTAGATTTCATATTTACTTACTCATTTGATTTTTTTTAACCAAAGCTGTGCCCTAATCCATAATTGAATGACTGATAAAAGTAATGGATACCTCTAAAAAACACTATTAAGCTGAATGTTAATTAACTCAACATAAAAGTCTTTTTAAAAGACTCATAAACTAATTCCAATGTACTTTTTAAATAACTAGTAAACCATGTGAACCCAAAAATTAGTGGAAATGTATATAAGGTCAATTCAAATAAGTCCGAGTAACATTGAAAACACACACTACTGACAGATTTGTGGTTAAAAATACTGTACATCTTTTAACAAAGACTAGTAACTAGGCAACTGGGAAGGGGAGGTAGGAAATAGGCAAGGGAAGGATTGACAAGATAACTCTTGTGAGGAACAGCAGAGGTAAGTAGCTGTCATTATTTCTGGAAGCCTAGCTCAACTGGTGGGGTTATACCTGAAACTGAAAAAATAAAATTCTAGTGTAACTAACTGTGGCCTGACCAAATTGCAAAACAGATGGTCTTGTGCGGCTGATCAATGCACAGCATTCTCTTAAGACTCTTCTGGAATTAGAGAATCAAAGTAGGTAAACAAATGCCATCCATGGGCCAGCAGATCTGATTTACACCCCCAGGCAACGCCCAGAAATTAAGTTTTTAAGCTGAGGGAACAGGATCAGTATTTAAACTATCTTTATATGATTTCACAGCCACACACCACCTTATGGAGCTTTAATGCAAAAATTGTCGAATATTTATTTTTAAATCTAATTATGTTTCTGAAAATACACCATCCTGAACATTTATAAGGAATAGCATAAAAACTCTTTTCATACTTGAAAAGCAGGGATGTATCTTATTTTTACTGGCAGTTGACGTGGGGCCAAAACAGTACAACAGCTGTCTCAATCGCCACGAAATTACCGACATAAAATGGCAAGACCTTTAGCAGCCTGTTCCCTGTGGGAAATGAAAATAGGCGTCTTGTCCAGGTTCTGGAATTATTGTACAAGAAAGGTGTTGAATTAACTATCGGAGGACTCAGTTTCAATTATCTCATTTCAAATATAACTGTCTTTATTTAGTGAGGGTTTTGTAGGTGTTTGTTTTTGGAATAAAATCTTTACAAGAAACACGTGTTAATTTACCAAAAGCCCGAATGGCAAGGGCGATCCTGAGGGCGAGAACCAGTGAAATACGTCAGGGAAAAGCTGGGAGGAAGGTTTTTATTTTTTTTTTAAAGATCTTTTCCCGCGTCCCCAAAGAGGAAGCGGCCGCCGCGGTTCAGGCTTTATCTCTAGGACAATAGCGCCGCTCGCCGCCTTCCGCGCAGCCCAGGCCGCGTGCCCGGCCGTACCCGCGCCCCGGAGTCACCGGCTCAGCTGCCCCGCGGGCCGCCCGCCCCACCAGCGTCCCTGCCTCGCCGGCCCCCGGCGTCGCCTGCGTCCGCGCCCCACTGCCGCCCCCGCCCGCCCACCGGCCCCCTGCCCCCGGCGCCCCAGGAGGGCCGCGGCGGCGGTGAGCAGCCCGCAGTCCGGCCTGCGCTGCCTGCAGGCCGGCGGACGACAGCCGGGGGCGCGGCCGCGAAGCCCGGACGCCCACGGCCCGCGCCCCGGGGCCCTGCACCCTCGCCCCCCGGCGGGCCGGCCTGCGTCTCGCCTCCTCCCTGGCTCGGGGCCCCTCCAGCCTGTTTGCTCGTCCTCAGCCCCGGGCCAGCCCCGCTCCCTCCTCCGGCTGCTTCACAGCCGTTAGCTTCCTGCGGTGTGTTTCTTTTTTCCCCCTCCTAGGATCCATCAAAGGTGGCTCTGTTATTGAAATATGAAGCCATTTCCTCTCCAAAACCCTTGGTTACTCAAGGCGGGAATCAATGGACCTATATACTCTCCCAGGAGTTATAAATAAATGTCTATTTGTTCAGGAGGCGTTTTCCCGCGTGTCCCAGCATCTTCCCCAGTGGTTATTTCAGGGACGGGAGTGTGTGCGCGCGCGCGTGTTCGCGCGCGGCCGTGCCCATCTGGTTCCAATCCCGGGTAGGGATCCGTAAACCAACCCCACCCATCCCGTCTACCCCTTGCATTCCTCACTCTATAAATAAATCCAGGTTCTCTGAGCTGTTATCCAAAAGCGATTGTTTGTTAACGGAGATTCAAACCCAGTATCGAAACTGAGTCCATTAAACCAGGAAATACACTTCTGGCAATTTGGGCGGACGGGAACCTCCGCTCTAGGAAGCCTATCTGCTGTTGTCATGACACCTCTTTACCTAGTTACCTTGGATCTACTTTGGAGAGAGGGAGGCGGAAAACCAGGACCTCTCCTAACCCTTGAGTTTTCCTTTTAGTTAAGCAGAGGCTAAAAATTAAGCAACAGTTCACAGTAGTGGCGTGTCTGCTCAACACCACGGCCCCTTGACCGTCCCCGCTAGAGACCCAGGAGTGGAGAGGGTGCAGGAGAGGCGGTGGGAGTGGGGGCTTGTGGGCGCAGTTGCCGCTTTCCCTGAACCCCGAGCGGAATGCTCAGAGATCCGAGTAGAGGGGAAAGTCCTCTAAGAAGCTGCTGTTTCACGAGGTCTGGGCACAGAGCTGCCCCTCCCTCCCTCCCTGAAGTTTGCATGAAGTGCACGTTAGGCTGTAATTAGGGGATCTGGGAGGAGACCTTTCCTGGTGACGCTTTGCTTTTCCTCTGCTTTTGGTGAGAAAGTGCCTCCTTCTTCTCAGGACCAGGACCTCTGCCATCCAGCGCCACAAAGAGACATTCTGCACACACACAATTTCACACACATGCACACACACACTTGCCCAGAGACAAACTTAAGGTGAGAGGGAAGAGCCCTAGCTTCACTTGATCTCCAGACTCCGACTTCATCAAGACTTGAAGCATCTGCACTTGTGGATTTCAGGACAAGGTAAAAGTTCCCTAAGTTTCTTACTCTTTTACTCCAACCTTGGTGCTTTAAAGATCTCAGAGAGCAATACATATCATGATATATGTATACATTAAAACGAGTTTTCTTTAATTTTTTTCTACTTTAACATGACATCTCAACTTTTTTTAAGTTTCATCTTGTCAGATGAAATACTGTATTGCAATAAACAAGCTCAATCTAGACTCAGGGCAAAGATGATCTAGTATCCTGGCTTTTGCTAGTGCTGCTATAAATCTGGTAGGTGCATGGTTTCCAAGCGGTGGCTTTTCCGTTTGTATTTCAACAGTTTTATAGCACCTGAGATGGAAAGAGGATAGTCTAGGCTGAAGGAAATGCTGAGGAATGGGAATGTCCGTTCCAGATTTATAAGTTTGTTTTAGAGAGTATATAGCTTTACGTGAAAAAGAAAGTTCCTGTAACCATAAGTAATACCTATTAGATTGAGAATCTTTGAGATGTTACCAATTTTGGCTCAGCCTTCTTCAGTCAATTGTAAAATTAAGATCATATATAGAATGATGTTGATGGGTTTCATATATAAAATGTTGATGGATAATTTTAATGCGCTGAAAAATTTTAAAGGCATAGGTGTTAAGATTACTTATTAGAGTTGCATAAAGGAATTATTTATGCGTTGAGACTGCTCACCAAATCTGAATTAAGCAAATCTGAACCCGTTTGGTCTTAAATGAAGATGTTTTCTTCTATTGAATATGACCGTTATGTTCAAAATAAAATGGCTCATTATTTTCAAAATAACTTATTTTATTTTCATTTATCACTGGAAAAATACACAAAGTGGCCAGGACATTTGGGAATTTTTATGGTGGAAAGTGTTCCTGTATATGTTCCAGTGTGATGTCATAAAATCAAACAAACTGGCTGGCTTCTTGGAAGCTAATGGTTCTTAAGAAATAAAGCTTGTGAATTAATTTCTAAGTGAAATGTAATATTTATTTATTACAAATGTAGTTTCTGGTAACCATTTCTATTTGATTATTGCAGTGTACTGAATTTGCAGTAATTTTATACAAATTTCAGTGACCAATATTTTAATGGAATCATAAAGTGGGAATATTATTCTGTCAAAGATATATCATAGTAGTTCTCTTTGGATAACTTTTAGTGTGATATTTCTTAATCCTTACATCAGTTTTTAACTTCAGTTCTAGTTATTTCTACTAATAAAGAATTTTTCCTTTTATGCAGTAAAACAGAATGTATGCCAAAGGCTTATTGGCACTTAAGCTTTAGTCTTTAGTTTCTTTGGGGATGTTTTTTAATAATTTAATTGTTTAAGCTAAGAGAATGAGTTTACATTTTCTGCTAACATCTTCACAAGATTGGAAACAGCCTGAAAGTAGGAAAACTAGATAAGAAGAAGTAATTTTACTTAAACTTAATTCAGGGAACAAGAGAAAACCAACAGCCTCAGGAGACCACTGGCCCCAGGGAAAATGTACCCAGAAGCCAGTATTCAAAACAGGAGTGTCCAGTGGTCCTAGGCTTTCTGTGAGAAACAGAAAAAGAGGGGACATCATTTTCTTATAAAGTGAGCCATTTATTTTAACTAAGTCCCTGTCTCTCAGAGGAATGACTGACACTGTAGTTTAGAAGCACTGAGGAGACTTTCACAGAGAAGAATCAATTCATTATGTCCCTAGTGGTTTCACTTCCTTTTCCTTCCTTTGGGAGCAAGTAACACATCCAGTGTAAATACATCGGAGTATGCAGGAGGAGACCTCAGAAGTACACAGTCGACTAAAGAGTCCTGCTTCTTAACGTCTTGGATGTGGAATATTGATATTTTCTGAATCATTGAAGCCTTTGAATCTTAAGGTTGCACTGCATTTTGCCTTTGTAACGATGAACATGAGTCATATTCAGAAAATAACTCCCTTTTCCAGAAAATAACTCGTACTAGTTTTCATTTCCTTTAGCCCTGGTGCATGTTTTATTTTCCAGATTACATTTTTAAGATAATGGTACTCCCCCAATTAAAATTCCAGTGAAATACAAAGCAAATTTGCAAATAACTTTTACATTATAATCTTCTGTTGCCTTTAGTTAATATTCCCACATCCTGGATTCATTATTAGTAACTACAGTACTTAGTCCGTGTTATTTAAATGTACTTAGTCTCTAATTTAAAGGTAGCAAAGTGCTGTTGGGGGAAAATGGGGAGGGATGGAAACCTGAATATATTTGAGATTTTAATCAATAGTGTTTAAGGAAGATTAGAGGAAACAACTGGTTAAACAAATATTAGCCGTAGAGCTGACTCGGTATAAATTAATAATGCTGCTCTTTATTTACACTGTGAAAGTAGGGTCTGTGATGATTCGATGTTTGAAGCACGGTCCCTGGGTGCCACCTAGTGGGAGAGTCAAAGAAGGCTTTCTCACCAGCCTCTTAATAAAAATTTCTGGAACTTCGTTCTGGTGACTTTGAACACTAAATACACAACAGGCTTTGGGGTAGGTGCTCAGTGTAGAAAATACAGCAAGTCAATTTTATTTAAATTAAAAATGAAGGCACTATTTAACAGTTGATTAAATTGCATTTAAAATCAGTTTACACTTTAGTGGGTAATTTACCATCAACTTTCTGTCTCCATGGTTAATAACCGTAACTCGCTTCTAATACAAGATTTGTTTTTTATAGAGATGTCCTGACTTAGGTCAAGAAAGGGTGGGAAGAGTTTGAATCCTGAATCACTGCTTATCAAACAGAAATAAATTTCTGTAGTATTTATTGTTATTGCGCTTCAATGAGTAAGTAAATACTAGCTTAAAAGGTTAGCACACACATTCTTGCACAGATTGTTACATACTCTTTATTTTTCCAATAAATGTAAAGGATAGTCAAAATTATTTTGGGAGAGTGAGGCATATTTTACAAAATATTGCTGTCAAATGCTAATAATTAGTGTGAAGAACCTCTTCTTCTATACCTGTTGCTTTTATGCAGTTTTGAAGAAGGACCATTACTTTCATTCAATTGACATAATAGAAAAAAATCCCAGACAAGAACAATTACAAGGAAAGGCACTGTTTGAAAGAAGCATCAGAATATCATAAAAGCATCAGAATATTGCACTGAGAATCTGGAAAAAAATGTTTCAAGGAAATTAATGAATTATTACTCCAATTGGCTCTTTGCAAGATATATTACTGAATGGCAGTAGTGTTCAGCACATGAACATTAATCAAGACAGAGTATGAAATTCAGATTGGAAGGTAAAATGCCTCAGTAGAAAAAAAAACATTTGTTTGTTACTTGCTGAACTCTAGAGGTCTAAGCCACAAATGGAGTTAGACCTGCTGGTGTGGATGGTGTGGAATGGAAGTTTCCTACTGTGAGGGGACTTTGGTTTTGTGAATAGCAGTGAGACCTCCACAGTAAAGTAAGTGAGGGGGTGGACTACCCATTAAATCCTTTTCATTAATACCACAAAATTATGGCCTGGATTGATGAAAGGTAATGGCTGGAAACACTATCAATCATATGAAATAAACTATATTATCTTAATTTTGATTTCTCAGAAGTCATTATCCACCAGAAAGAAACCATTCTGCTAATTTCAGCTGACCGTCCCTAAGATTTAGAATGAATCACATACTCATTCTAGTGGGTGCTAGTGTGAGATTGCCTGTAAGAAAAAGACTTTTTTCTGAAAGTAGAAATTTTAGTCATGGATTAGAAAGCTGCAACAAGACATTTTATGATTTCAGATGATTTAATGATACTAGACAAGAAGAAACTTTACAAGAGACAACCAGTCAAGCTCCCTCAAATGGTCTGATGCTGCTGTTTCTGATTATATTTTGGTAGTTCCACATGATGGCTTTGCCTGCCAGTGATAGTGACCTGTGTCAGGAGGGGCGGGGGGCTAGGGGGAGGGGCTTGCTGGTATTCCAGAATTCCTGGCTTTGTTCAGATAAAGCCAGGATTTGTTTAAAATACCAAATGTTGCTGGGCTATTTTTAGTTTCTACTCATTGTTTTATAGCTTAATAGGTGCCATTGTGGGGGGAGGATACCCTAGATGAAGGTGTTGCTAGAAGGCAGGAGGCTATTTGCTAAACGAAGGAAACCTAAAATGCTACAAGTGTTGCAAGATCCTGAGGTACACTTTGTATAGCAGAAATCACCCCCAAATTCTCACCTCATAGTCTTCATATTAAGAGAATTTGAGCCTAAGTCTTTAGAACCATTTTCCTTGTTTGCCACCTCCTAGCTGAGTGGGTAAGAGCTCTTCCTTGGTTGTGTGAGCACAAATGGGCTTGGGAGGGCAGCTCTGACACTCCAGAACCCTGAACGGCTGGGGTTCCCTGTCTACTTGGATGGACAGGAAAGCAAAAATTCATCTGCACACAGGTGCTGTCCGCCAGTTTGCAACTAAAATTCAAATTGAGCACAAAATGATTGAATGCTAACCATTTGCACTGGGCACCATGCTAGGTGTTACAGAGTGATTGGCTCAAGGAGTTCACAAGCTAGGGGGGAAGACAGATGGATGCACATCATGAATCACTAGTAAAATTTGCCAAGTAAGTGAGGTTTGCCTTCCTAGTCTCCTGGTTTCTTTCTTTTGCACTTTCTCCGCCCCCCTCTACCTCGTAAACTGAGACCTCTGCTCTCCACCCCTAACCCCCTAGAGGGTCTAATACTTCTCTGGTTTGTTGAGTTCTTGACTGATTACACTTAAGTGTGAATGAGTTTCCCTCATGTATTTACATTTCAAGCCTTTTATCTCTCTTAAGTAAATGTTTTGCTTTCTATAAAAAGAATTTCAACCATCTGGAGTCCTTCTCATCCTTACACCAAAAGGTGTAATTAAGTTGATTTAGGCTTCATGGTCTTCAGTCTCTGTTATCTCCACTCCATGTGTGCAGCCAGAGGCATTCCCTCAAGGCCTGTTTCCAGAAACTTTAAGGACCTTCGGTCCTGTTACCCATCAACTCCTTTAGTTGAGCC